AAGCTTGTTCATGAATTGTGAGACCTAGGCAACCTAGTGCTCTAATACCAACTTGTGACGACCCGAAATTCCCATCAACTGGGCCGTGATGGCGCCTAACATCACACTCGCTAGGTAAGCCAATGTTAGAGTTTTATTGACTATTTTCCTTTACATTTCATTGATTAAAACTTAACAAGCTAGAACAAGTAAAATTAAATGCGAAAGTAAGTAAATAACCTTTTTATCCATATACTATTACCAATAACATTGCCATTACTACCCAGAATCCGGTGTCACAATCCACGAATATACTATGATTTTCTACAAATATCGGTCTGAAAGAAATTACATCTGTTTTGGAAATAAATAAAACAGTATAACAGTGATGTAAAAAAGGCGACGCCAGGGCCTGCGGATGCCAACAGGACTACCTTGAGTCTCCTAACCGTGAAATCTAAAGCCTATCTTTCAATCAGCCACTACCAGCTCCAAAATCTGCACAAAAAATGCAGAGTGCAGTATCAGTATAATTGACCCCATGTACTGGTAAGTACCGAGCCTAACCTTGACGAGGTAGTGATGAGGCTACGGTAGGGAATTACAATATAACATGCATACAATGTATAATAAAAGCAAAAAGAAGAACAGAAATAAAGCAGTATCTTGCAAGGAATGAATACAGAACTCAAGTATTTTTATCAGTATCAAGCTATAACCAATCCTTAAGTAAAATGTAAAACGACATAATAACTTATACAGTAGAAGAAAGATAAATAAACACATAAACTGATGTGGCACGCATCCCGATCCCACCATATAATCAATATCGATACAAATGTTCACCCTTATTACTCCACATCAGTCCACCCTTATTCCTCATGTTGCGGTGTGCAACTCGATCCCACTGTACATTAACATTTCACCCTTATTCCTCCTCAATATATCACCCTTATTCCTCCTATTGCGGAGCGCTATGTTATAAAAGGCAGAATTGGGACTCGCTCGAGGCTCGCCCCGGGGCAGAGCATTCATTACATTGTGCGTAACTTATGTGTGGGGCTTAGTTCCGCGAGACTTACGCCAAGACCGTCGGGGCTTGCATCCTGGACATGCCCAACACCCAGCGTACTAGGCTCACCTAATAGAACTTTATGAAATTGTGCGTAACTAACCTTGTAAATCCGCAAATTTTCTTAATAAATCGTTGACTATTCAAAATTATTTTTTTCTTAATCATTAATCATTAAGTTGAAGTATTTTATGTCATAATTAAAATAAAAGTTATTGTACGTTATCCACTAAGACTGTTATGTTAATAAATTTTAAATACACCTTTTATTTAAAAGTATTTATTTATTAACTTTTGTTATGTCTTTATTATATAATAGTCCATAATTTCTTTTATAATTATTTTTCCAAATATGATTTATTTTACGTTTACGAGATATAATACTTATTAATTTAATAGCCCGGTATTAGCTAGTAATTATTTATAAATAATTAGTTATTATGGTATAGTATGGTGAATTATGTGTCACTTTATTAATTTGTTGAAACTTAAAAAAAATGATGCTAGAGAATCATATTTAAATTGTGAATTATGTTTTTATATAAATTCTCTTTCAAATAGAAAGCATATTAAATAAAAGGAGTATTTAAAAAAATCAAATTATAATATCGAAATTCTTTCAAGATTCATTACTCCTTAAGAGATAAATATATGATTTCACATCGAATATATTACTTTTGATGTTTGAGTTGTAACGACGATGCAACTAATTTGCATATTATGATATATGTCATACTTTTCGTAGTATTCATAGTTGAATTATAATTTATAAATATTTTAAATAAATTGTTTGTTATAATTTTTATAATTAATTTTTAATTTTATACTACTTTAAAATTCTTGAAATTAGTAAAATTTAAAGATCTGTGAGACTTACGCCTCATGTCTCAGGGCTTATGCCTCGCCCCGTCAGAGCTAAAATGCCTCGCCTCATGCACCCGCCTTTTAAAATATTGGCGGCGCGTAACCCGATCCCACCATATCAGTATCAATTATTCAATAAGTACAGAAATTTCACAATTTAACTCAACTCTCCACAATATTTAAACCTCAAACCAAAGCAAATGGAAAGCTTGTCCATTATAAAACTTTAAACAATTAGTACTACTCAGCGAAACTAATCCAAATTATACCCTAAAACACCGATAAACCAGCTTAAGCCAACAATATGAAATGATGAAACTACGGTGTAACTAATACCTTCAACAATGGACAATAATGTCTGACAAGTAGCAATTAAATGAAATACCAGTAAAGCATGTAGCAGTTAAGGCGGGAAAAGACAATATAACAAGAACGGGAAATAAACAGGCAAAACAGATAAATTGGCAGCGCATATGTACTCATCACCTCACCTATACGCCATTCTCATGGATTTTTCACGTAGCAATTAAGTAATGGGTTCCTAATCCCTCGAGTCAAAGTTAGACACGTCACACACCTCGATCCACAAGCCACTTACTGATCAATTACTGCTTTTCCTCTAGTTTCTACCTCTGAACCACTCATATCTAGTCATAATTAACCTAATAACATCAATTATCGCTAAAGAAATCAATTCTAATACATAATTATAAGTTTCCCAATATTTTCCCCAAAAAGTCAAAAATCGACCCCGGGCTTGCTTGGTCAAAACTCGAGGTTCGTACCAAAACCCATTCACCCATTCACCCCCGAGCCCAAATATGTAATTATTTTTGAAATCCGACCTCAAATCGAGGTCTAAATTCCAATTATACAAAAATTCCTAATTCTATCCAACCCCCAATTTTCACCATGAAACCCCTAGATTTTTGGTTAAATTCTTGTAAAATGAAATGAAAGATTGAAAGATAAGTTATAAATATTATTTTGGACCTGTACGGGGCTCCGAAACCGTAATACGGGCTTGATACCAACAATATCAAACATTAACCAAATTCTTAAAACCATTTGATTTTCAGTCTTACAATTTTCATCAAAAATTCATTTCTCGGGCTAGGGACCTCGGAATTCGATTTCGGGCATACGCCCAGGTCCCGTATTTACATACGGACCCACCGCGTCTGTCATAATATGAGTCTGGATCCGTTTACTCAAAATGTTGACCTAAGTCAACTAAATTAACTTTTAAAGGCAAAAATTATTATTATTATTATTATTATCAATTTTTCACATAAAAGCTTTCCGGAAACGCACCCAGACTAGCACACAAATCGAGGAGGAATAATATAAGGTTTTGAAGGTCTCACAATACGAAATCAAGTTCTAAAATATAAGATAACCTTTTGGATCATCACACTTTCCTAGGCCATTTGGGCCATATACAGTACCGAATGGTTGAGCATTTGAGTGTGTAAGCACTTGAAGCTGACAACATAGTGCATCATGTACAGTGTGTGCATTGGCTTGTAGAGGTAGCAGAGTTATATTCTTTATACTGTTCGAATCTGCTTTACTTTACTATTTTGAGCTGCCTATTTAATTTGAACTACATTTCTGCACAATTATTTCTATTATACATGTACTGATTGAGTTCGTCACTACCTTTCAATTTAAAGTTTTGACTTGTTACTTACTGAGTTGGATGTATTCATGTTACTCCCTGCACCTCGTGTGCTGTATTTCTGGTTACGACAGAGGCTGCTGATCGAGGTTTCTGAGCTCAGAGACTATCAAGGTAGCTGCACGGCATTCGCAGGCCTTGACTCTCCTTCTTTATCACTAGTTGTATTTCAGTTATTTCTCTAGACTCTATTATGATATAGACACTCATGTACTCAATGACACCCCGATTTTGGGTTGGATTGTATTGCATTTTGGGAATTATTCTGTTTTCAAAAGGTTTCTTTAATGTCAAATGATTCCGTTTTTACTTTCAAAGTTATTCTATTGTGATGAGTTGTTAAGTAGAGGCTGGCCTAGTTCCACGATAGGTGCCATCACGACAGTTGATTTTGGGTCGTGACATAAACTAAATCAATAAATGANATATATATATATAATATTCTTAATTTAACTTTTAATTGCTAAAGTTTGAATTGCTAGTTTGATATAAAATAAATATGGATAACTATTTACAAACTAGTAACAACACCTAAGAAGAATAACACAAGTATACTTCTAAGAAAAAAATGGAGTCTATTACTCGAACGATCACTAAACTATCCTAAATTACCTAGTAAAGTCATCTTTTTTTTGTTTATCACTTAACTGTGCCTATTGCATATAAAAGGCCATTTAACCAGATTTCTCAAACTTTTGATGTCAAAATACCTATTTTACCCTCTAAATTATTATTAACTTTTATCTTTTTAATTTTTTAAAAACTTTTTAAATAATATAATTTTTTATTTTAATATATATATTATGGACTTACCTATAGAACAAATAAATTTTATGCCTAAAAAATCAAAATATTTTTAAGCATATATAATGTTGGAATAATAAAATAATTGAGCTAAATAATAACGTTTTAATTTAAATAATATTTTCGTAATAGTAATTTTGATAAATACAACAAAAAATCGAAGAATTATTTACACAATTTAGAATAAAAGAGAATAGAAGCTTTTAAAATATATATTCCATACAATTAATATAAGAAATAATTATTTAAAATAGTGGTATATTTTGTAATATGCATCCTATATTCTTGAAAACTATGTTCAATTATTTTATTGTTCTAATATTATATATGCTATAAATATTTAAATTTAAATTTTATAATTAAGATTTATTTATTATATAGGTAAGTTTATAGTATAGATTTAAAAGAAAAAAATTATTATAATATTAAAAAAGTAATAAAAAGATAAAGATTGATAATTGGAGGGTAAATAGTTATTTGGTTATTGAAAGTTTGAAAAGTTTGGTTTAGCTATTTTCTAAGTGCTATATGCATATGCATAGTTTAGTATAATTCTTTTGTGATAAATAAAAGAAAGATGGCTTAATAGGTAATTTTGGATAATTGACGAGGAACTCAAAAAATTAGGTGTTGAAAGTTGAGGAAGAAAAGTCTCCCCAAAGCCCTGCCTTTCTCTCTCCCTCTATCTTTGAGCTAGGCCGAGAGAGAGAGAAGAACACCCCGACGACGAAGAAGACTTGTTTACTCTCTTAGATCAGTAAAGGCAACTTTGTATTCAGAAGCTTATAAATGGATCAGATATTGAACAAGTTGGGTTCTTACTGGATTGGTCAGAAAGCCAACAAAGAGTTCAATTCCGTCGGCGATGACATTAACGTACGTCCCTTTTTCTCTATTTACTCCCTTCCCCAACAAAGCTTAGGGTTTACTGTTTACACCAATTCTGGTCTAGTCTAATTTCCCGATAATTTAATTTGGGGGGTGGGGGGTTACTTAAACTACGTTTTTTTTGGGATCACTAGATTACGGGGTTCAATTGATTGATTTACCGTTAAAGATTAAATTTTTTATGGTCAATGGTGGTGATATATGTACCCTGTTTTTGAATATGCTTAATTAGAAGTTTATTCTCTTAATTGCGTTTTTCTCTTTTAAACTGTTCTTTCTTGTGAGCTTGTTTTTAGGGAAATTCTTTCAAATTTAGTCTCTTGTCTCTAGAGAAAGGAATGGAAAATTAATGTGATAATTACAGATATGAGTGCAAACGGTATGGTGATAGAAAGTTTATTTAAAAGAAATATGTCATGCATTTATTGGTTTGGCGCAAACATAGGTGCTCATAACTTTTTTCCCGTGATATATTGTCGAGAGAAGTGCCTTCGCTTGTTTCTCAAATAAGTACATTGCAACATCGTTTATTGAGATTAGTCATGGAGGGATTACTTTCGATTTTGGACTCCAGTTGAACTGAACTTTAAGTGAGCTTTCTATCTAAGCCATGGTTTAGCTACTGATATGTCTGAGAAACATGACTCTCACCTGTATCCGATCTCACATATAGGCAAATCCCTGTAACCAACCTCATATACTGAGGGAACATAGAAGTAAGCTTCTTAGTTTCTTCATTAAACGCATAGTTGGTGGCATCATGAGGGAAAATAACTGCTGGAATTCCGTATTCCTTCAGCCGATGTCACGAGGCTTTTGCATTTCTCCTACGAATCTATAGTTAAGTAGGGATGAGTGAGCTGCTGACTTTGCCGGCATTTGGCAAAATAATAACAGAGAAAAAAAAGCTCATGACTGGGCATCCTTAGATAATTACCGGAAAATGAAGCATCCTCGAGAAATGAATCGATGGTGTTCCCTAAGAGCAAACGAAAATTTTGATATGAAAGATTTTTTGTGTATGACATTTGAGAAGGCAAATTCGTAAAAAATCTCTATGAATTAATCAAACCATCCAGCTAAGCACCTTAACCGGCTTTCCTCTCTAGAACAAGATGTGTGAGGAAATGACTCTTTGCTGTAAGCGTAAATGAAATAGCGGGAAATAGATTATGAACAGAATGATACCACGGAGATCTCAATTTTTTCTCTTAGTCCAACACAAAATCGCAGCTTGACAAACTTTTAATAAGTCTTATTACCTCCCACATGTTAGTGTTTTGCTTATCAAGTTTTGGGCCAATACTCTATTCTTTCGCATAAATTTTTATTTTCCCCACCGTTCTCAAGCTGAGCTAGATGGATTAGTTTCTTTGCTGCAATCATCACTTGTTTAATTGCAGACAAAGAATTGTTGGAGTGGGCATAAACTTTGTTGAATTACATCCTCTTTCTTTCCTTTATTGCATTCTTGGATTTCAAAGCACAAGAAATTTCTTATGTAAAAATGTAGAAAACATGCTCTGTGTCTTGTCCTACTTTGTTACTACAATAAGTGCACAACCAACATCCTATCATGCCATGGATCCGAAAAGCTGAAGCTTTACTCTTGAATAGGAACTTATTTCCTGAAAATATAGGTATTGATTGATGTCNTCTAGGATCCTGCTAGGTCTCAAATTAGAATATCTATAAATTCTCTCTATGTAAATTTGGTTTTTAGTGCAACCTATGTACTGATTGTTATAATATATACAATAGTTACCAATTCAAAAAAAAATATAGGTATTGTGCTAGGATATGGGTTCTTTCTCCTTTTTATTATACTCTAGTGTTATCCTCGTGTTTCCTATTTTTAGATTGATATTAGTACCTGATGTTTCCTTTGCTTCCTTTTTATTTTTTCTGGTTGTTGCTACTATCTCGCTTTTCATAGTCTTTTCTCTTTTGTCATAACTGCTGTGTTTTTGCTTTATTGAGCCGAAGGTCATCCAACGACAACCTCTCTACTTTCACAAGGTAGGGGTAAGGTTTGCGTACATATTACCCTCCCCAGACCCCACTTGTAGGAATACACTGAGTATGTTGCTCTAGGACAAAATGGTCATATAGCTTTTAAAGGATATTTCTGTAAGTTAACTTTGGACTTAGTAGGTTCCTACTTGTAGTATAGTATGATAATGTTGTGCATTACAAGTATGAAAAGCATTTTACCGACGAAAGTAATTACAAGATCCACCTTCAAGTTTCTGCACTGGTGAAACTATTAAATTGAAATTGATGCAATAAATTAAAATAAGTTCCAATTTTGTTCAAATATTGATGAGTGTCAATCTGCTTTGATATGTGTGAGCTGAGACTATTTAAGGAATACCTACCCTAACCAAAACAAAATATGTTTACTAATTTGCAATTTGCTTGGAGAAACCATTTGCTTATTTTTATTGATTTAGTTCTGATTGAGATCTCTCCATGGACTTTCTCTCTTCTCGTCTTCTTTTTACATGTGTCTGGGACTTCTTCCCCTTTTTAAAATTAGTCCCTGCAAAGCAGTATTGAAGGAGGAAGCAAATGGCTGGTGAACAAGATTAAAGGTTAGTCTTCCTCCTCATTATCTTTTAGCTCCTTTTGTCTTCTGTAAACTTTTACGTCTAACCCTGAAGCTGTCTGAACACTAGCATGCTAGTACCCCATCCCCCTAGTGAACATTAGGCTGGCACAGGAACAGAGAAATAAAATGCTCACCTTTTACTTCTTTTTGCAGTCTTGTCTCATGATGTATAGGATAGTTGATTGTGGATATTCAGGCTGCCGAGTAAACTAGCTTATGATAAACCATGTTGAATGTCCCCAAAAAAACACAATCAATTTCTAGTTTTTTCTCAGAAAAATCTATTCTTTCTTGAAATGAAAAAGAGGCTAAAGCTGTTTAGCTGGATGGTTGGAATACAACAACAAAAAAAGCCAGTGTAATCCCACAAGTTGGGTTACCTTGATGGTTTGAATAATTTAATACTATTTTGTAAATGTTTGATTTCTTAAAAGGTATACCCAAATATTTTCTCATATCGAATTCTTCACTTACTCGTAGAAACAACATCGATTAATTTTGTTGAAGATGCTGTCATTTTATCGATGATAATCTATGGACGCTCGTCAGTATGAGTCTTGAGCTAGCTCTCTCTCTCTCTTATTCCTTTGCCAAAATAGTCAGGAGCTATCTTATCCCTGCTTTGCATCGGATTTGCAGGAAAAATGCAAAAGCCATTGCCAGAACTGCTAAAGGAGTATGACCTTCCAGTAGGCATTTTCCCTCGTGATGCCACCAACTATGAGTTCAATGAAGAAACCAAGAAGCTTACTGTCTATATTCCCTCAGTATGTGAAGTTGGTTACAGGGATTCGTCTGTATTACGCTTCTCTACAGCTGTTACTGGGTATTTGGAGAAAGGAAAGCTAGCTGACATAGAGGGAATGAAAACGAAAGTGATGATGTGGGTAAAAGTTATGGCTATTTCATCTGAAAAGTCAAAGCTTCATTTCACGGCTGGCTTGAAGAAAACCCGTAGTAGGGAAGCTTATGAGGTCTTGAGAGATGGAGTCGCTGTAGATAAATTCTAGTGTTGTCAACTTATTATGAACACTGAGATTGTCATATATCTGTAAAGCCTTAAAGTATTGCTCTTCATTGCTTCTTTGTTCGAGTTGTTGTAGTTGCGACTTCTCTGTGAAACAGTTGTGTGAATATTTTGAATTTGGATTAAATTGGAATGTTAATTGCAAACTTATGAAATATAAAAATGTTGTAAAACCAGATTTCGCATGTGTCAAAGTTGAGTCTTTTTTGAGTCGGGGATAGTATCTAACTAGCTGGCTCTATTCATTGTCGGAATGTAAATAAAAAAGAAAATGCACCAGCCGGGAATCGAACCCGGGTCTGTACCGTGGCAGGGTACTATTCTACCACTAGACCACTGGTGCTGCTGTTTATCCATGATTGTTTTTACCTACTTTTGTAGTCATTGACTTTGCTAATGCTATTACAGTTCTTATTAGCCTAAAAAAGATGAGGTTATCATACTTAGGTATTAGGGAAAGCAGTTACACAATTTCTTTGTCGCTTAAAAATAGATGATGTTATAAAGCTTACGCAGGGGTGACAAACGGGCGAGTCGGGTGGGATATGCTGCGGGTTAAAACGGGTAATACAAAAACTAATAAATTCTTCAGTCCGACCCATATTTAATACGGATAAAAAAAAGGTTAATATGACTTCTTGAATATGATCACTGTTGGGAGAATTCCTAGTCTCCCATACTTTAGGAACCCCAAATTTAAAAAGTTACACCCATTGTTTTCCATTTTCTAAGTGGATAACATAATTTTTATTCATATTTGACCCATTTTTAAAAAGTTCATTATCCAACTCATATTTTAATGGATAATATGGGTGAATAACTATTTTTTGTTTTATCCATTTTGCCACCACTAAGATTAGGTATTAGTTAAGCAGTTGGAAAAATGAAGATACAGCTACCGAACTTCTTTAATTTATCTTTTATGTCATTGATCTTCCTGCGAGTACAAAGCTTGATTTTCTCAATTTTTGGTGTGAACTCTCAGCGGGATAAAACGTTAAATATGTACTGTATTTGTTCCTGTAACCCATAATGCACTTTTATAGTTTTGCAAAGCGAAGAAGTCCCAAATCTAATTTCCCTGAATAGTATTTTCTCGGTCCGTTGAGCTGTAAGTATATTACTATATGATTGCATAATTGAATGAAAAACCACGCTTGGAACTTACAGATGTATACTTTATTATATCTGATGTTTAATGAATGTTTCCTTTGACTAAGACCCATTTAACCTTTATTCATATTCATGTGATGCTTGAACGTTATAGCAGCTCTGGTGTAGATGGATAATCCATGAATAGCTCGAGCAGAGACCTAGAAAGGAATTTATACCCAATGACCTTAAAAATAGATGTTCTTACTTTTTTGACCCCGGCTTGTCTCATGGGTAAAAACCTTTAAAGCCAAAAGTTAAAAATGTTGTCATGGAGCAAGCGAAGGGCAACACTAGTTAAACTTGAAGTTGCCCATGAGACATGCTGGATAAAAAATCAATAATGACACAGAAGTCTTCTATTTGTGCAAATTATCCAACCTGAAAGGCTCATAAAAGTGACCACGCAATATTATTCCGTAAAGTTTTCCGTGTGACCTATAGGTCACGAGTTCGAACAATGGAAGCAGCCATTAATGCTTATATTAAGGTAAGTTGTCTACATCACATCCGTAAGGATACGGCCCTTTACCGAACTTTACATAAATATGAAATACATTATGCACCGACTGTTCATTTTTAATACTTGATTAACATCCAATGGTTGACACTGTTTTAACTATGATTTTGATTGCTATTTATGTAGTAATATTTCAGCATAACTAGGATTACAACATTGAACCCCAGGTTAACGATATTTCAAACTTATCACGCACACCAATTAATTTGATACTCATAATTGAAATAAAATCTCCCTTACAGTGATTCTTGTCAAATCAGCATCCCAAATTCATGTGAAAACTTCAAAAACATGTTAAATGAAGAAACCAATATAGCAGCCCAAGCAATATGCTAGTGGGCACCTCAAAATAGCACAAAGTGCAAAGATAAGAGCAAAACCAAACAAAAGTACAAGGCTAGCAAAATTATAGAAAGGTACATTAGTTTCATGCTAGAGTTAGAAAAATTAATTGTTCTTGCCTTGAAATAGTAAATGTATCCTTCTACGGTACAGAAAACCCAATTATACCCTACGAAAATCCAGTGAATCTCCACCAAGAATGTGTGATCGTTACTGTGTTAAAACAAAAAATCAGAAAACTGTTAGAAGAATAAAGATATGTATAAAATAGTAAAGAATCAGAAATATTCCGAGTCCACAATTTTCTTGTGCATCCTTAAGAAATTTTAACCCCCTCACACGTTGCCAAGGTAATGGATTAAATCCTCCCAGGATAAAACGGAATAAACCTTCCTGCAACAGTGGCAATACAAACTGCAGGATACCAACGAACTCAAAGAACGGAGCAAAATCACACTTACGAATTTGAGAGAGAGAGACTGTGAATTAGGATGCAGTATATTCAGAAAGAAAGAAGTTCTAGAGTATTTTTCGTATATGAAAGATGCAGCCTTGCCTCAGAATTTATAGGCAAATATCAGAAGAGGTGTCTGGAAAGGTGCCTTTTCAGAAAATACGTGGCCTGCCGCAGTTATACCGCGATCGCCAGAGAGCCTCTCTGAATCTGACTGCCGCGATTCTACCGCGGTCGCGGCAGAACCGCGGCC